TGCCTTCATTGGTGAATTCTGTCAAACATAACAAAGAATCAACATCAATCCTTCCCAAAACAATTTAGATTCCTAATTCATCCTGTAATGCCAATATCAAAGCCAGAAGATAACTAGTTCAAATAACCTTAAAATACTAGCAAAGCATACTCAACAGCATATTCGAGGATTATACACCATGGCAAAGTACAATTCCTGCAATGGTAGGGTGGTTCAATATATGGAAATGTAACATACTACACATTAACCAAATAAAAGAAAAAATACACAATCATTTCAACTGATGCAGAAAAAACATTTAACAATTCAACACCCTTTAATGATAAAAGGAATAGAAGCTGCATCAACATGATAGTTGAGATATAAAAAAACTGAAAGGCTGAAACATTTCCCATTAAATTTAGGAACAAAAGACTATTTGCTTTTGTCCCTTGTTTTACAATACTGGAAGTTCTAGCCAGATAATTGGGCAAGAACAAGAAATAAAAGGTGTTCAAACTAGAAAGGAAACTAATTCTTTTCTGGCAGATAATGTGAGCCATCTAGGAAATCCTAAATTCTGCATGCATGAGTGCACATAATCCTGTGAAGTTGCGAGATACAAAAAAATATAAACCATTGGTGGTTTTATAGTCATTAAAGGAACCAAAAATTCCACTTAATACCAAAAACAGTGAAATGTTAAGAAATAAGCTTAACCAAGGAGGTCAGCGACTTGTACACTTGAAACTAAAAAATACTGCTAAAAGAAATTCAGGAAGGCATGAATAAATGGAAAGGCATCTCATGTCTATAGGTTGGGAGACAGTATTGTGTTCATTTCAAAATACAACCCATAACAACCTAGTCACTGCAATTCCTAACCAAATCCCAGTAGTACTTTTAGAAATTCCACCCTAAAATTCATATGAGATCTCAAGGGGGCTCTGAATAGCCAGACTAATTTTCAGAAAAGTAAATTTTACAGTTCTTAATTTCATAATTTAGTAGAAAGCTAGAGTATTTAAAACTGTGATACAGGCATAAATATAGCCCATGGAATAGAATAGCAAACCCAGAAATTCTCGTGTATATGGCCCAATGATTATTAACAAAGATGTCATGATCCACTAGGAAAAAGTAAAAAACTGGGCAACTAAAATGAATAGATACTTCTCAGAAGGTACTAATGGCCAATAAAAGACATGAGAAAATTCTCAACATCTCTTGCCATCAGAGAAATTAAATTCAGATTCCATCTTTCTCAAAATAGAATGGCTTGTCATAAAATGCTGGCAAGGCTGTAGGGGAAAAGGCATCCTTTTACATTGTTGGAGTGTAAATGGGTACAGTCATTATGAAAATTATGGCAATTCCTCGATTAGAATTTCCATTTGACCTAGCTATTCACCTAAATATCTTCCCAAAAGAGGTGAAGACAAACTACAATGATATGTGCATATCCGTGTTTGTAGCAATTCATAATAGCTAAAGCTTGGAAGGGGTCATCAACAGATAAATGAAGAAAATGTACTTACATATATAATGGAATGCTACTCTGCTATAAAGAAGGATAAATTTAAGTCATTTATGGCAAAATGGATGTACCTTGAGACCATAATGTTAAGTGAAATCACACACAAGCTTAAATATCATGTAACATGAAACCCAAAGTATACATAATTTTTAAAAACAAAAAATAGGAAATAAAGTATTTGTAAATGGGAAGAGGATAGAGACAGAGGAGAGAAGGGAAAGGAAATATAAAGAATTAAGAGAAATATTAAGTTCATGTACCTACTCCCTAAGATGAACATAAACGTACTGCAGATACTATTAAGACCACCACTTTGATAAATTCTGCTGGAAAGATGATATCAACATGCAAATTAATGACACTGGCTATTACACAATATAAAATAACAAAATGGATCAAAGACTTCCATGTAAAACAAAAGTTTAGAAAATTAAGGCAAAAGCCTCATGACATTGGAGTTAGTAATGAATTCTTAATATATGATACCAAAAGCATAGGTGACAAAAAAATTAGACCATCAAAATTAAATACTTTTTGCCAGGTACAGTGGTGCATGCTACTTAGGCTGAGACAGCAGAAACACAACTTTGAATCTAACTTGGACAATTTAGCAATACTATACCTCAAAATTTTAAAAATTTAGAAGGGATTAGGAATACAGCTCAGTGGTGGAGCACTTGACTATTGTGTGTGAGGTCCTTAGTTCCAAAACAACAACTTGTGCATCAAAAGACACTGTTGAAAGCCAAAATGCAACCCATGGAATTACAGAAAATATTTACAAGCCATACATTTGATAAATGATTAATATCCATAATTTATATATTCTAAAATTCAACAAAAATCTTACTCAATGGGCAAAGGACTAATTATCAAGGAAATGCAAATCAAAACCAAAATGAGATACCACTTCATAGCCACTAGGATGATTATTTTTTGAAATAATGTTTAACAAGTGTTAGGGCTTGGAAAAATTGGACCCTTGTGCCTTGTCAGGGATGGGAGGGGTGGCTACAAAATGGTGAAGGCCACCTGCTTGAGAAATGGTATGGCAGTTCTTCAAAACTTACACAATCCAGTGATTCTACTTCTGAATATCTGCCTGAAAGAACTGAAAGCAAAGATTCGAACAGGTACTTTTACTCCCCCCGTAAGTAAATGGATAAATAAACTATGAATGGGTATTATTCAGCCTTAGATTCTGACACATGATACAACATGGATGAACCTTGCACATGTCATGCTAAGTGAGGTAAGCCAGAACCACAAGTGTAATTACACATATAGGAGGTACTCATCAAATTCATAGAGACAGCAGAATTGTGGCTGACAGGGATGGAGGAAGGATAAGAGAGGGAGTTATACAGTTTTAGGGAAGATATAAGAGTTCTAGAGGTCAGTAGTAAAGGCTTTACATTAATAGAAATATCCCATTAAAATGTAGTTAATTAGTAAAGTATGGTATATATTTTACTACAGTGAAATTATGAAAATTCAGCAAAAGTGAATGTTGAAAGAAAAATTCATAACATGGATTGACCTGAAAACAAAATGTTGGCTTAAATAAGCAAACTATAGTATGATTTGTACATCAAAAAAAACAGAAAGCCAAGCATGCTTATAAATACACAGTATGTATAGCCAAAAGGAGGGCAAGAAGGAAATACAACCATGTAGGGGAACAATCCCTTAAGGTGCTACACCTTTAGGTTTCATATGTAAGCAATGGTTTGTGCATGTTCAGTTATTCTTGGATTTTTACACATATTTAATATAAATATCCTAGTATGCAATACTTCACAATTTCATAAAGCAAAATAAACCCTGCCACACCTGAAAAGAAGAGCATTTTCCATGTTTTGCTTACCAAATGGTTCATGTTTCATAGACTAGACCACCACAGTGGACTCGTTTTCATTCATATTGATGATTCCCCTTCTCTCCACAGAATAGTATTTACACTTCACTCTTCTCAGAAATAAAATGGTTCCACTTTATTCACCCAGATGTTTTTTTCTGTTGTTATACTGGGGGTTGAACCCAGGGCCTTTGCACCCATTGATCTATATCCCCAACCCTTATGTTTTAAAACGGTCTTGCTAAGACACTAAGTTGCCCAGACTGGGCTCAGACTTTTGATTTTCCTCCCTCAGCCTCCCAGAGGGGTTATAGATGTGTGCCACTAGGCCTGACTTAACCCAGATGTTGTTACGACTATGGTCCCGAACAGGCTTACGTTATAACTTCTGGTAGTTAACTGCTCATGAAATACTCATTAATTGAATATTATGGGCTTATAAAAAACTACCCATAATTACATGGTAGATTTTTAAATGTGCTTAGATCACATTTGGATATACATAGAATATTCACATCAATGATGACAAGTATCTAAGAAAATTGAAGCTCCCTTATAGCCACCAATATATCAACTTTTGAATAAAACACACACAGACAGGTGTAGTATTTAATCGAAATATATTTGTCTAATATCTACAAAGTGTGAACAACTGTTCTTAAGAAAGCAGACAAAAGGCACAAAATTAGTCTTACTACAGAGAAGCATTCATGCTACTGGATTTTATAAATATTGGAGTGGCACAGTAAAAAATTAAGCATTCAGCAAAAAAAAAAAAGAAAAATTTCCTTTGCTGTTTGTTTTGGTCATGTCTATGACTCATTTGTAAAGGCCAAGGGCTGAAATTCAACTGAAACCATAGAACACTTATGCAGGCATGACATATCTTTTAATCACAGTGGCTTTCTTGCAAAGTTTGGGTCAAACCATAAAGGTGCACTTAACAAAAATCTACAGGAAATTCCCTTTCCCCAAACTAAATACAAGATTGAGGTGTGGTTGTGCATATTTTATATGCATGCATGTATTTAATTTCTAAAGCCCTTTTTCTCATCATAAAAGTAGTGAAATCACTGTATGATTTGTTTTTTCTGCTGTTAAGGAAGCAGCTTCTGAAAAATGTATGACTGGTGCTTTGTGCATAAGAAATCATCAGAAAGATGGGGAAAAAGTCCCAGTGAAGCCTGGTTCTAGGTTCTGCCAGAGGAGTTCCATCCTGGAAGGCTCTGGCATTAAATCTCCATCAGCTTCCTATGCACCCTTGTCATTCAGCAGGGGAGGAGTTTACCTTTCTTGGGTGTAGACAAAACACCAAAATAGAGAGGTGAAAATCACAATAGTTATGAAATTATTGCCACCCATACTTCTACCAGCAGTGAGCCACTTTCTGCTACAGGAAAGTCAACTGAGCCATGCCAATTTAACCCTCATTTTGACAGGAGTAGACTAAGTGAAAACATCTTTTAAGTGCAAAACATTTTTTGGCAAAGTGAAAAATAGAAAACTTCAAACCTCATTGATAAAAACGAGCTCATGATTACCCCCTTCAAACCTTGGTGAATGCAGTATTTACACGTGTAGTAATACTTAACAGATGTATACATAGTGCACGTGTGAACATATACAGTGTCACATGTGCCCCAAATGGCTCTTGAATAAATTCAGTCTTCTAGCAGAGTTTGGGGTCTGCTTTTCACAGTATATAATTTCTCTGAAACCATTTCTTAGATGCTAACAGGAATTCTCAATGCCAATAGAACCTTGATACTGTACCACTTTAATTCCTACAAAAACTGGGCTCTTTAGGAAAGCTCCTCACCATCACCCCATCAGTATGCCTTCCAGAGGGGGTTGAAGTATACCCAGCCATCACCCTGAAAAAGAAGGAAAAAGGCATTACAGGAGAACTCGGTAGGGAAAACAAGAAGTCGGGACAGGTCCCCCAGCCTCTGATGCACCAAGGTAATACAGTGGACACTCGGGACTTCCACTGACCTGTGTGCGCCTGCCTTGTTCCCACTGCTCTCTACCCAAACCAAGCCAGTAGTCTCACTACCCTTTCTCTGCCTCGCTTACTTCAGAGCCCAGATGATCTATCTTAGCATCTCAGAAGGAAATCCCATGAAATGACTACAGCAAAAGGGAGTTTTTTGTTGATTTACATCAAGATTTCTTGGCAAAAAAGCACTGAGACAGTCGGACAAGAGAAAGAGTGAATGAATAAACAGGAAAGGAAAAGTAAGGGAGCACAGGTGTGGAAGTTGCCCAAAGCAGGAATTTAACAGCTCACTAGCCTGGAGGGGAACACCCACCTAGACTCACTGCAGAAGACAGTACTCACAAAAAGATCAGCACACAAAACACCACCACCCATCAATCATCAAGTAAGAAAAAGCCAAGAATCAAAATGGTATATACAACCTGGTGCTAAAATTAGAAAGGGATATATTAAAAGTGGTAACCAGTGTAGTGTTGGGATGATTTTTAGTTTTACATGACCCCAAGCCTTCTGTTAAGTGAACAAATTGGCTTTTATTAAACTTAAGGAAAAGAGTTATGTTTTTTGTTATCCTTTAATGCATGAGTTCCCTCCAAAGTGAAGCAAACTAGTGGTTTCCAAGAGCTAGGAGCTACCTCACAAAAGGATCCTTCAAGGACAAGGGTCCCTCATGGGGTTCCCACAGTGACCCTTAAAGGCAGAGTCTCCCCAAGTGGCCTTCCTGTTGGAACCAGAGTCCAGCCTCAAAGGTCCTTACTTGGGGGAACATCAGTGGCTTCCTGTACTAATCATAGGTCCACCTACAAAGTACTTTGTTGCCCAACTTACCCACAGACATGTGTTAAGGCCAGTGGAGGTGAACCTATGGCATGTGTGCCACAGCCAGCTGTTACCACTGAAAGTTCTAAAAGGTTCACCATCACTCATCTAGGCAGAAAGATTCTTGTGGCAGAAAGCAGAGATTAACAGCACCTGAGCTAAACAGAGCCCCATGGTTTCATTTTGTTTGGCTCCTGGTATTAAAGACTAGCACTTCTGCCCCATTCCTCACTGGCCTGCTTCTCTGCATTATAGAGCTCCTGAGGCCTGTCTTACAAACTGTGGGCCTACATTTTCATGCCTGTCCCCAGTATGCTTCCCAATTACTCCATTGGCAATTTCTAGGGCATAAGAGTCTCCACTGGCACACAGTGCCTCGCCCACTTGGCCAATGGAAAAGCTCATATGGATATCACTTCTGCCTTCCGATATCACTTTACTAGGTGACAGTTGCATTTCAGGCAAGGGACCCACACTAGGTCTGCCCTCAGATGTCCAGCCCATGTGACCCAGAAGAGATAAAGCCCTGGGAAGTAATTCTCCAGCATGAGGGTCTCAACCCACCCAGGTGCAGAGGCAAGCATAAGGCGCTTCACACCTAATTTGTATGGGTGGTAAATAGGGATTGTGGCATTCCTAAACAGAACAGTATCCAGGTCAGCAGTCCCATTCCCGTCCTTCCCCGGCAGGCTAATGGGACTTTCTGGTTTGAGGGTACAGTGGGGAAGTGTCAGTTGCTCAGTTCTGCCTTTCAGGTAGTTTTAGGCCTCAAGATATCATCACAGATGTTGTAGAAAAGTTGTCATGAATTCTGTCCAAAGCTGGAGCCAGAGCCAAGCTATCCCCAGTTCATTCCAGGACCTTCTTTATCTTTCCTATCCCCACTTATCCAAACTGCTTGGGTGCAAAGAAAAATCTGTCTGCCCCTCACTTGATGCAAACTCTCTTGAGCAGAAGAGCCCAGTATCAGGTGTGGTTACCTCCTGGATAAAATATTTTGGTCGCCATGCTGTGCAGAGGCTGTCCCGCTTCCGTTCCTCTATCCGTTGCTTCTCTTCCAGCTGTCGCTTCTGCTCAGTGGCTGCATCGATGTCCCCTAGGTGCAAGTATCGAGTCACCTCCTGCCAGAGATTCCTGAGAATGCAGAGTACAAACGATCAGGCAGGGCTAGGGACTGTAGGATGATGCAGTGACCAGAGCAAGGAACAGGGATCCAGACAAGCTCTCTCTGGGGTAACTCAAAGCCTCAAGAGCATTTGGACCCAGGGTACCTGCCCACACTTTCTACATGTCCCGAGAAACACACCTTTCTCTGGGCTCTGAGCTTCTGAAGATCAAATCTCCCATAACAATATAAGGCAGTATAATGCTACTACCACCAACAGCAGTGACAGCAAGCATTTACATGGTGTGTACCATACACTTCTCTAAGCATTTCACATATATAAGTTCATTTAACCCTCACAAGCCAGTGATAGAGATGATACATCATCATCATCCCCATTTTACAGAGAAAGTTAACATCCATATAAGCTTAAGTGATAGAGCTGGTAAATATGAACAACATCCACTTTCCCACAAAGTAACCTAAAGAAAAAGATTGACTCTGGTGCATGCATGCATGCACGCGTGTGTGCGTGTGTGTGTGTGTATGTGTGTTGGGGGCGATTATGGTGCAGGACTTGTCAACTCCCCCAACATGTACTCAAAGAGCTACTTCTCTGCCTTGTTCCCTCAGCAAAGAGGCAGTCAAGACTGGCTTGCATCTACCATGCAGCTATGCAGTTTTTCTCCTCAGGACTTCCCAGGGACCCACCTCGACTCAGAGCAATACGTTGTTCTAGGGCGTGAGGAAAAAACAACGGTTAAGTAGGACACTATCAGCCATCTGCTGCTTCACTTCAGTACACCAGAAGCCATGATTTCACACAAAAGGAGCTATCAGAATATTCAATAGAGCAGATGCCCTCCCTCATTGACAGGATGCCCTGCACCCAGGTCAAGGAAAGGCTCATTAGCTACATCTCCTCTGAGGATGCTCTGGTCCCTTTCAACAGTGAGGGCTTAGCATGGTAGAGATGCTGGACTGCTGTGGCCTCATTGGGCCCAGGAAGGGCAATGGGTCTCCGGTCTCCAGCAAAGCAGCGACAGCAAGCAGCTCCTTCAGAGGAGAGTTTGTGCTAAGGGTGGGCTGAGAATCACTCTCTGGCTGCAAACTTCCCTTCCCACCAGCCTCAGCACATATCCTGTTAAAGAGAGACCAGAGGAGCACAATGCTGTGGAGCTAGTACATAAAACCAGGTCTGACTGGCCTCACAGCTCTTGCTATTTCTGTTATGTCCTAGTATACTATGTAAGAGGTAAGACTCCATCCACAGATAAATGGATAAAGAAAATGTAGCACACATCCACAATGCAATACTCTTCAGTCACAGAAGAGTGAAATCCTGTCATCTGCAACAACATGAATGAACCTGGAGGACATTATTTTATGCCACATCAGGCAGATACAGAAAGATAAGTAATGTGTTTTCTCTCATGTGGAAGTGTACAAAGTTGAATTCATAGGACAGAGTAGAATAGTGGTCATCACAGACTAGGAAGTGGTAGGGGACAGAGGGAGTTGGATAATGGATATCAAAATACAGTTTAACAAGATGAATATATTCTAACATTCTATAGCATAGTAGGGTGATATGTTCTACAATTTATATATTTTATAAAGACCTAGAAGAGAGAAGTTAGAAGGTTCCAAACATAAAGAAATGATAGCTACTTAAGAAGATGGAAAGGCTAATTACCCTGATTTGGTCTTACGTGTTGTACACATGTAATAAATGACCACACTGTACCCCATAAATACATACAATAATGCAAAGGCACTGGACTGGGAATGTAGCTGGCCTAGCATGCATGAGAACTATACCCATCAGAGGGAGGGAGGGAGGGAGGGAGAGTGCGGGGAGAAGTGGGAAAGGAAGGACAGATGGACAGATGGGCAGACTACCCAAGATAAGGAAGTGAGGTAAGGAATCAATGAGGGGATGGGTTTTGGCTCAAACCCAGCCTTTCTCACACCCCTCATGCTGAGGGAGATGGGGGCACAAGGGCAGCCAAGGTAGGTATTACTGTCTGGAGAGGACTTTCGTGAGAAGTCCCATGATGCAGCAGTGGCTCAAGATTAAAATGTAGAGACCCCCAAGGACAGCAGAGCAAGGCCTGCCCTACAGACAAAGGGCTCCACGCAGACAGACACAAGGACCCAACGAAGAGTCACCTGAGTGTGAGGAGGACGGTGAGTGGGGAAGGGATCACCTGGGGACAGCTCTACACACTGCCAAAAGGCAGGACAGTAAGAAGGCTTCAGGAAGGGAAGGGAGAAGGCGAGGGAAGAAACACAAAAGGAAGTCCTCGCTGAGCAGAGCGCCAACACGGTGAAGGGCAAGGAGGTGGCACAGGCACGGCTGAGGCTGCTGTTACTGGATACCTGCTCTGTGGCCTTTTACCTCTGTGGCCCTGAAGGTCCTGGCCAAGGCGGGACCCCTGCTCAGACCACACTTTGGGCATCAAGAACAGACATACAAGTGTGGACAGACAGTGGAACATCTTCAGTCCGCCCCTAACAGGGGAGGCCTCACCAGGGCTGGCACCACCATGATGGCCAAGACAGCTGGTCTAAGCACTGATCCACTCAGCCAAGCTGATTGTCCCTCCTTTAGCCCTGCGGAGCAGGACTCCACAGTCCAGGGCAGGCAGTAGAGACAGTGGGTGCAAGTACTCTGACAAGCAAAGGAGCCCTGGGACCAGCCCTTCTCCCTCAAGGCTGTGTCCTCCACAGGGAGCAGGGTGGCTTGGTCCCATCTCTCCACAGGTCAGCTCCACTGTCCTATAAAGTGCACATAGACAAAACAAGGCAACACCCTTCCTCTCTTGGTCTGGAACCCAACCTCATCCCTGCTCTGGGCTGAATTCTGTGTCTACATGGGCTGAGGCAACAGCTAAGCTACTCTAATATCCTTGGAAGAATAGTGGCAGTCCTCAGAGTTCTGTTCTCAATGGCCAGCCAGGAAACAAGCCATGGTACAGTGGGAACCACAGGATTCCTAGATCTGAGAAAGCTCATCAGAGGCAGTATGGCCAGGGGTGGGTTTCTTTCCTCATTCGCACCTTTCCCTTTTCCTGCTACAACCACCCAATACACTGGGATTAAAAAAGACAGTTGGAAGAGTTTGTGGCCTCCATCCGGACAAAGAAGTTACAGTCACTGTCCTTGAAAAAATAACAAGAAAGAGCGTACTAATCCTACCTCAAAGCTAAGGTTCCAGGGATGAAGCTCTGTTTTTAATAAACTCAGTGATAATATGTTATTTAGCCATGCTGTTGTATGCCTGTTTTGTTTCCATTTAATAAGCACTTCTTCTCTTTGGGTATAAACTCTTCTAGTAATAGCAAATTTTTTGTAGACTAATTTGAAACTTACATTATAACACTATAAAGAGCAGCATAACTTTCAGATTACAGCAGGGTCGGACAAACCTCTGCAAAGAGCCAGATCATAAACACTTTAGGCTTTGCAGGTCATATGGTCTTGGTTACAACTACTTCATCCCTGTAGCAGGAAGACAGCCATAAACCATGTACAACTGTCAATAATGATGGCTCCGTTCCCCCAAAAACTTTATTTACAGAATCAGCCATGGGATGATGGCATAGACTGAAAAATCAAAACGGCACATTCCGAGAAAATTCTGCTTGTGTACCTGCATAAAAACATCACTGAAAAAAAATGTTATACTGGGTAGCTGCATAATATTCATTTCACAGGGTAGCTATTCCAAATGTCGGGAAGTTAGGTGATTTCTTTCTCATTCCTTTGCTGTTTAGGTTATTTATTTTGTTGCTAAGTTTTTTTTTGGGGGGGGTACCAGAGTTCAAACTCGAGACTATGCTTTCAAGGCAGGCAGCGGCACCACTGAGCTAAATGCCTGGCCCTAAATTTTTATTTTGTAAGGAAAAAAAAAAAACTGTACTTAAAATCTTCTATGAATTTAAGAATTTTCCCTCAGAATAGATTCTGAGAAGTAAAATATAAGAACTCACAAGTTTGAAGCTACTGACCCATGCAGATGAATTACATCCACCCCTCCTGGGAGGACAGGGGATACAGTCAATTGTACCACACCCTTGCCAGCACTAAGTTGTTTTTGGCTTATGTTTTAAATAACCCTGCTAATCTGGTAAGGAAACAAAAAAGTATTTCATTGCAGCAACTCATCAGCTGAGCTGACCAACTTTTCAGTTTGTGCATTAAAAGTCTGCTATGGACTATCTTCACTGTCTGCTCCAAACTGCAGAGCAACCCAAGTGACAGCTAAATGGCCCTACTACTAAGCAAGATTGGGGGTGGAGGTGGAGTTCAAATGGTGAAAGAAGCTAGAAAGCGATTCCCACCCGTGTCCAGTAGCTGCACTTTCAAAGGTTCTGCTCTATCCTGCAAAGCTGCGAAGCTGAGGGAGGAACACAGGCCAATTCCTACCTGGACTCCATGGGCCCCTGCTTCTCCAGAGGCCTGATCCTCTTCGGGTACACTGGCAGGGTGGTTGTGTCTATGACTTTGGTTTCTCCATTGCTGTAGGTGAACTCCAAGATACCGTTCCACTCCCCATGGGCTTTACAGACAATAGTGTTGGTCGGATTGTGCTTTACTTCGGCTGTGACCCTGAATTAATAAATGAGTCAAAAGGAAAACGCCTTCAGAGGGCACTTGTATTTAGAGAATTTTCTTAGGGGGACTGGGGAAGGAGGAACTGTTTTCGCAGTTTGGCCTGAAGACTAACTTTTAAAACATAATCTAATACTGTTGGTCAGAAAAAGTGGAAATATTGGTGAAATCTAAATAAAGTCTGTAGATTAGTTAATAGTAATGGAGCAATATTTCTTATTTTGCAAAATGTTCACAAATGATTATGTAAGATGTCATCTCTACAATGGAAATGAAGCAATCTGGGAAAAACAAAATATACTCTCTTTTCCCCAAAATAGCATCTAATATCCACTATCACCATTCCTATTCAACATACTACTCAAAACATTAGCAAGAGAAATCAATTAAGAAAAAGAAATAAAATGAGTATGTACAGGAAAGAAGAAGTCAAATTATTATTTGCAGGTGACAGGATTCCCTACACAGGAGAACCCCCCCCAAAATCCACCCAAAGACTTCCGGAATAAATAACCAAATTAAAAAATGTAGCAGGATACAAAAATCAACACACAAAAATCAATAGTGTTCCTCTACACCAATAATGAAACGCTGAGAATGAAAGTAGGAAAACAAGATCATTTACAAAAGTAACAAGAAAAATTAAATATTTAGAAATTAACCTAACCAAGGAAGTGAAAGACTTCTACAATGAAAACTACAGTACTTCAATAAAGGAAATTGAAGAGGTCATCAGAAAATGGAAAGCTATTCCTTGTTCCCGGATAGCCAGAACCAATATACTTAAAAAGACTATATATATATATATTTTTTTAATGCAATTGCATTTAATACAAATAGCAACAGCATTCTTCAAAGAACTAGAGAAAACAATTGTAAAATTTATATGGAACCAGAAGAGACCAAGAATAACAAAAGCAATCCTGGGTAACAAGTACTAAATGAGAGACATCACAATTCTAGACTTGCAGTTGTATTACAAAGCTTCAGTAGCATGATACTGGCACAAAAATAGACCTAGGGATCAAAGGAACATAAATGAGGATGTGGAAACAACCTCAGGCACATTCAACTATTTGATCTTTGACAAAGGGGACAAACATATACCCTGGAGGAAAGACAGCCTCTTTAATAAATGGCACTGGGAAAACTCACCATGTACTAAATAAACTAAAATCAAAATGGACCAAAGATCTGTTAGACAGCAGTTAACCTGCTGGAAGATGAAACAGGTAAAACCCTTAAAGTCATAGATGTGGAAAAGGACTTTCTGAACAGAAGCCTGGCTGTACAGGAAACAGTAATCAACAAATGGGATCATATCGAATTAAAAAGCTTCTGCACAGTAAAAGAAACAACCAACAGAGTGAAGAGACAACCTATAGAATGAAAAAAAAATTTCCAGCTATTCTTCAGAGGACTAATATCTACCAGACACCCTCCAGAAAATAAAAGACCCAACTAAAAAAAGAAAGAAAAATGGGCAAGTGACAGGAAGAAGTACAAAGAGCCAATGGAAAAAAAACACAAAACAAAAACCACTGTACATTGCTGGCCATAAAGAAATGCAAATTAAAACAACACTCAGATTCCATCTCACCCCAGGAAGAATGGTCATCATCAAGAAATCATTAACAACAAATGCTGGTGAGGCTGCAGGGAAAAATGAACCCTTCCACACTGCTGATAAGAATGTAAACTAGTACAACCACTATGGAATTCAGTATGGAGATTTCGCAAATAACTAAAATTGGAAATTCCACTTGACCCAAGTATGCCCCTTCTAAGCATCTTCTTGAAAGAGTTAAAGACATCATCCTACAGCGAGCAATACATGCATACTCATGTTTGTAGCAGCGCAATTCATAACAGCTAAATCTTGGAAGCAGCCTATATGTCCATCAACAGATAAAGAAAATACAGTATTTATACATAATGGAGAATTATTCTGCCACAAAGAAAGCTAAACAAGTCATCTGTAGAAAAATGGAGACCATAATGTTAAATGAAATAAATCAGACACATAAGCTTAAATATCACATGGTTTCTCTCAGACGAGAAACCAAAATATAAACAAAAAGCAAAATAGAAGATAGTAATAGGAAATAGATCTTTTTCAAGTGGGAATGGAATCAAGTGATAGAGGGGAGAGGAAAAGGGGAGGAAGGGGATGAAAAATAATCAAGGTGTGTACTGTACATGTACCAAGTCCACAGAAGAAATGTAAACATGTACTGCAACATGTACTAAAAACAAACATTCAATGTAAGGGGATGAAAAATAATCAAGGTGTGTACTGTACATGTACCAAGTCCACAGAAGAAATGTAAACATGTACTGCAACATGTACTAAAAACAACAACATTCAATGGTGATACATTTTAACCACACACACACACATACACACACACAGGAGTACAGGGAGAGCTTTTGCATCCTTAAACAAGGGCAAGTTTGAAGGTGAGTCAAATGGGGCTGCTCGCAATCCCAGGAGAACTCACCCTGGAGGCAGGCAGCCCCTCCTGGACATCCATGTGTGCCCTCACTGATAGGTAAGCAAAGCCCCACTGCAGCCTCGTGCCACAGCAGTAGCTGAGGGGTGACCTTCAGCCTCTCTGTAAAAGGGCCTCTGCGGACGTTAGTACCTCTCTCTCCCTGTCTGAGGGTCTCTCCCAGGTCTCTACGCCTGTCTAAGCACAAGCAGATGCCCAGCTGCTTTCTCTGTAGTCTGGGCCACAGAGTAGAAATCCGAAGCTGCTCTAAAGCAGACAAGGATAGGAACTAAGCTCCTCTTTATACTGTGGCCCTGCTCAGGATGGATTTAGATTGCAGATCCAGGCTTGGAAGCTATTTCCCGAGCCTGACAACCGTCCTCACTCCTGAGCAGCAGGAGGACGGTGCACTAGGTGCTGGCGCGAGGTCAACAGCTGACCCTCCTGACGGAAACACCACCTCTCTATCCTTCGGCTAACTTCTGTGCATTTCCACGACCAGCACGTTTTCACTGAGCCTGAAGCTGAGAAGAGCTACACACAGTCGGCTCTTGAGTGCAGAGTGTGCTGGCTCCAGCAGCCACTGATGGAAACTTCGGGCTTCCGACTGTTAGCACCAATGCAGTTCAAGGAAAAGGGGCAAAGATGGAGGTTTGCTTATGCAGTGGGTCTGAAGCAGTGCATAGCTAGAGCCACGAAAACAACTCGTGTCCTCAAACAGCACATGTCTCCTGCAGTTTAAGCTTCTTAAAGGAAAGAAATGGTCCCATCTCATAGACACAAAATACAGAATCCAGGAGAGTTAACTGGGGAGCCACTAGTCATGTCCAGGCTCACACCGCAAATCATGTCAGAGCAGAGAAACAGGCTGTGGCCACAGAAGGGAGTTTACTGTAACAAAGAGAAGCACCTTTGATTTCACCGAAGAGTCCAAAAACTGCCCTGTGAAGTGGGGAAATGAGGTGCTTCTTCTGAAAAAGAAGAAAAAAAAAGGTGCACACCCTGTAATCCTAGGATTCTGGGAAGCTGAGGCAGGAGGATAACTAGTTCAAGCCCAGCCTGGGCAACTTAGCAAGACCGTGTCTCTAAACAAAAAGTGAGAAAAGGCCTAGAAATGTAGATTAACACAAAGCCCCGGATTCAATCCCTAATGCCAGGGGAGTTGGGGGCAGAGGAGTCCTATTAACTTTATTTTGATTTCCAACTAATTCCACCACAGAACTTGAGCTTCTGGTGAAGAAAAGAAACCCAGCGCATTGTGGTAAGACAAAGCCAGCACCACCCTGGCCACCCCTACCTGTGGACTTTTCCTCCGTAGAAGGGTTTTGTGTGGAATATCACCGTTGCCGAGTACCCGGTCTTGGCGCAGTTGATGCTGACTTTTCCTCCGAGCTCCACCCATGGGATGGTGAGGATGGACCGGGCATAGGCACTGGGCAGGGTGAAGACATACTCCTCCCCGTGCTCCAAGAGCTTCAGCACACCTCCAGGGAGAGAAGAGGAAAAGTCAGACAGACAGACAGACACACACCACACACACACACACACACACACACACACACACACGAAAAGGACAATAGGGGGCCAGGAGACTCAGAGACCAGAACCGGAAGAGGCCTGGCAGTAGATAGAGAGCACGCCTCTTACCTCCACGGGGGGTCAGCCACCCACTCGCATGTGCTCAGCCTGGCACAGCACAGGACACTGAGATGAGGACATGAACCAGACCCGAATTCTACCCTCAGGGAGCACAGGAGAGTGGTGGATGCTAACCAATCACTGGTTGGCCTGGAAAGGCAGTCTTTCACGAGGAAGGGACACTGCACTTGGAAAGGTGTAGAGGAAAAGAGCACACTCTCGCTGGGAAAGCAACTGATTGCATGTTATGTGAACACACGATGACCATGACGCCTTATACCAGACAGACTGACATCAGAACAAACGAGCCGCCTCCCAGTCCCCGTGGCAGCTGACCACAGCTCTCATGAACCAACTGACCCACTGTCGTAAAAGGGAAGTTCCAGGCCATCTCGCACTCTTAGGCACTTGTCTCTCCTCCAACACCTCGGAAAGGCCCAGGTGTCCCCGGAAGCCCGGTGCTCTCCATGCATGTAGGGAGGCCTGCTATGTTTGTGAGGAGACCCACACAGGAGGGTTTCCATCCCATGGCCTCCGATCAGAACCCTGGCAGGAGAATAGTCAAGTCTGACGTAGCTTTTTATGTCAAAGCCTACTTTGCCTCTCACTTCCTCACACTCGGTTGCTTCACAAGATGAGCTGGAGCACGCAGGAAAACTGTAGCCAGTGTCACGCAGACATGAGGTCAACAGCCAAGAAGAACCAGAGGCAAAGTGAAAGGAGAAATCACCCAGGATGTCCTTCTTGGCTTTGGTTCTATTCTCAAGTTCCCTGGACCTTCAGGTGCCAGCCACATCCTTGCGGCTGCTGGGGGCAGCAGGAGAGGACCCTGGAACTCTAGGGATGGCCAGCAGTCAGCCTGCCTTCAAGGCCAGAGTGGAGATGCACAACGCCTACCCAGGGCTAATGGATTTGACTTGGTGGTAACATCCTTCTCACGGACCACCAAGTCTCACCGGCCCCACAACCTCACCCTGTCCGTGGTTAGCCTTCTCGTCCTTAACTGGAATATCAGCAGGCTCCCACCCATTCGCACACCTTGCCAGTCGTCAGAGCAGCAGTGCACACAACCAGGATCTCTGCGTGTGAAGTCTGCCAGCCTTGTTTACAAGCAGAAATTTCATGTAGCTGAGATTCCTTACAATGCTTTTTCATGAAAGAACATGTCAGACATGAATGACACCGGGGAGGGTCATTCCAGGTTCTGTCACTCATCAGCCTGGCAATCTTAACTTCTCCGTGCCTCAGTTTCCTCATCTGTGATACATGGATAATGGTAAGTGGCAGAAAGTGATTCTAAAAGAGCCCACAGATTCTAAGAGAGCCCAAGCCTCCATCCCGCACAGTGCCAGAACCCTGAAGGTTTATATCCTAATTATTCCTTCCTCTCTGGGGAGATTCTTAACAATGGCATGGCCATTTGGCAATACAGAGCAAATCCCAAAGTCTGGGGGTGGGCTATGCGTGGGGGGAATGGGTGAGATTTTTTTTAATGTAATGCTTTGTGCATAAGCAATAGCATCTTCTTCCTGTTCCTCTATAGAAAATTTTCTTTCAAATCTTGGAGAAATTTCCCTCACAACCCCAAAGTCAGTGAGCCCCAAAGCTAAACTGTTTCAAGGGCACTAGTAAAATCACATTCCTTTGGCTCTTTTCTGAAAGATCTCTCAATGTGTGTACATTCATTAAACTACCTGTGATTATGCCTTCTCAGTACTTTTGCAGACTGTTAGAAAAAAAAAATCTTTCCTTAACAAGAATAAATGGCTATATTAAAATCAGACTTACAAATGGGACTGCAAATGAAAGTTACCTCTTCACTCTGCCTGAGAGCTGAGAGAAGTGAAAAACACCAAATAATCAATCATGCTGTGGTGACTCTCAAGCTGGGAGACTTTCACCTGACGTTCCACAAACTGATGTACCAGTGAACATTTGGCAAAGCATTAAGATTTTCAAACAGAAAAATTTAAAATAATTTCATATCTGACTGCAGTCACAGCAACCAAAATATTCCAACAGGATACTGACTGAGACATGTGTACAGGGCCCAGGGCGATCCTAAACCCCTAAACCCCATGCAGACACATTCTTTCCCACCAGCATGGACTTCACGGGGCGGGGGGTTTCATTCCAGTGTTGGGGGGAAGCCACTTGTGAGAGCAGCTGAAGGCAGCTCAGCAGGGGCTCAGCATAGCTGAGCTAAAGAACCAAGGCTTCCAGGTTCTGTGAACACTGCTGAACAGGGACCTAGCGGCTCAGCCTGCAGATGCCCACTGGGTAACTGGAAGCAAGACAAAGCTGGGCATCTCTGCCTTCATAGTCTATGTTTCCGTTATTACTTTAAACCTCTGGGTCAGATCCCTGCTCAGCTTTGCACTAGGCATGTCTGCGCAGGCACTAGGACTGTCTTGTAATATAAGGTCTATTAACCCTAAATCTACCTAGCCTGTCTCACCTCTTCAAAACTGAGACCACCAGGTAACAGTCACTCATTTTCAGGATTTGTAGGGATAGCCAACTGCCAGCTTTTACCACAGCCAGTTCCAGAGACCCTGGAGCAATGCCTAAAAGTTTTCGTTGCCCTAAATGTGCTGCTACCTCAGATTCCAGGAAAAGCAGAGCCGAGCAGACCACACCATGATGAGGTGCCCACCCCAGCAGAAACAATTACCCCATGACAAGAACTGAGCCCCGCTCCATGATATCATGGGACCCAAACTGACCCTCTTAAGCAATGATGACTCTCCCAGAGCTCTCGAGATGGCTCTCCTGCGATATGAATCAACCAGACCAAAGCTAGTCTACAAGCACCTATGCTGGGCAACCCCAATGCTTGTCTTTGTTCCGCTTTTCTATAATGGCCCTAAAGCTTCTGCCAGTCCCTTGAAGACAGATCTTGAACTTTTCCGGACTTTCTAGCAGGGCCATGCTGACAAGCTCCTTTGCTACCCTGCAGCATTACTCATCTTCTTGACTGTTGTTTTGTTTGTTTGTTTGAGTCTGTGACAGGGTCTCCATATGTAGCCCTAGCTCGCCTTAAACTCACAATCCTCCTGCCTCAACTTCCTGCGTGTGGGGATTATAGGCGTGCACCACCATGCCTGTCTTGACTGGCGTTATGGGACAGGTAGCTGAGCCTACTCTGCTGGGACCCCTGGACCTAGGGCTTTTTCCCTAAAACTCTAGTAACAGTCTTTTTTTTTTTTTTTTTTTTTGGAAGGGGTCCTCTTCTTTACCGGGGCTTGCCCT